AACCCAGGTTGGAAACTACTGTTTGTTTGGCTATTTGTGTGTGTGTGCGCGGGGGGGGCCCCCCCCCCCATCTTAATATCTGGAAAAATACAGAGTTTGAATGGGGTTGCAGTTTAAAAAACCATATAATGTCAACATTACTGGGTGGTTAGCACCTAGCAACTAGTGTGTTCATACTTTTTGGTGTTGTGTGATTTAAACCTCATAATAATAGCGCTCCGGTTTAGGTACAATTATCTTTTACCACTGTGCCAACTGAGACTACAGGTGAAACTAATTGGTCATCTAGTAAGTAGTAGAACCAAGTTGCTGTGTTTTGGAAATAGGTTTGGGGGCGCCTGGGTGGCTCAGTCTGTTGAGCGTCCAACTTCGGTTCAGGTCATGATCTCACGGCTCGTGAGTTCGAGCCCGTCGTCGAGCTCTGTGCTGACAGCTCAGAGCCTGGAGTCTGCTTTGGATTCCGTGTCTCCCTCCCTCTGTCTCTCTCTGAAGAATAAATAAAACACTGAAAAGAAAGAAAATAGGTTTGTCTGATTCCAGAGCCTGAGCGCATAACTGCCATACTGAGCTTTTTCTTTTCTAATTTTATTCATTTTAGAGAGAGAGAGAGAGTGCATGGGAGAGGGATAGAGAGAGAGAAGATCCCAAGCAGGCTCCACATTCAGCATGGAGCCCGAAGTAGGATCTCTCGGTCCCCTTTCTAGTCCTCAACTCTAGTTAAGAAATGACAGTTCCGATTGCCTCATAGGTTACAAAAGCCTACTCGTGGAAATGAATAACTTAAACATCACTTCTTTGTTCTATTTTTTTTTTTCCTGTGCATTTCATGACAGCTAATCTCTACTAACAGGAAGAGAATGATGTTTTTCTATAACACGACATTCTACCGTAACCTAAGTTATGTTCCTGTTTTTAAGTTGAAAAGGAAATAGTACTCTTCCTGGATTGAGAGTTCTCAGAGGGGATAGTTTAGGAGAAAGGTCACTTTTCCAGTTTTCATAAGGTGCATTCATCATAAAGGTAAATATTCTCTCTCTCACTCTCTCTCGCTCTCTCTCTCTACACACCCATGAAACTCAAACATCCTGGTTACCATAATTCATTGGGAGTGACCAGATCTGGTTAAAGTTGATAGAAGGCCATCATTATGGTAGTTTCAGTCGAATGTTCTTCAGGAAGTTCTGTTTTTTAACACTCTTTTGAACTAAGTTAAGGAAATTTGTTATGGACCCTCTGTATTCTTATCGTCCTCTCAACTGATCTGAGCAATCTGACCAGTGCTCTGGGCAGAGATGCAGGAGTCTTGCCCGAGATAGTGAGGCTCTGTAGCCATCATGATTTCTCTTCTCATGACCCTCACCCACACTTTCTGTTTGCACTTAGCCTGGAAACCTATGAGGTTCCAGCAACCCAAGTGAGGGAGGAATGAGGAGAAAGAGACTGGAATGATCTGCTACCCACCTGGGGCCAGGGTCAGGTCCTGAAAGAGGCAGCCGGCAGGGTCCAAAAGCAATGTATTTGGAGTTGTGGCACAGCACAGCCCACGACTTCCAGTTCCAAGAAGGGCCAATCCAATGGATGGTCTTGCACTCACGTTTGTATCTTTCTAGTTGTTTATGGCTACTCGTATATGACCTGTTGATTATGCTGGCCTATTGTTATTACTTTTTTTCTTCAAACACACGCAATTGCCCCCGTCTTAGCTGCTATCATTGGTCCCCTGGATTACTGCAGCCTCTTACCTGACCTCCCTGCCTTGAGTTTTGCCCTCTGATCTAACACTCCTAATTCCGTGTACACAATGTACTCAAAGTGGCCTTTCCAGAAGACTTCATTGATCGTGTTATTTCTCTGCTTAAAGTCTTGGAGTTTCCTCTCATTGTTCTGAAGATAAAGTCCAAACTCTTTGATGTAGTTTTGGGCCCTGCATTATAGGGCATCTACTGACCTCTTGAGTCTCAGGTGTAACCCTCTACCGTTCATGCTTTAAGCCATCTGAACTTCATGCAGTTAAACAACCAAATTTCAGGAAGAGGAGGGAGACACCTGGGGCTTGAGAACAACCATTTAAATGCTTCTAGGTTTCTCTCCACTATCTGTTCTCTTGGTGTCAGTATCATTTTATCTCATCGCAGTTTATTTTCTCTGAGTGGTGGGAAACATGGCCATCACTGGCTCCAGACTCGTATCTTAGCTGCTTCCACCATTAAATAAAATGGACCTCCTCAGGTTCCCTGTGGTCCCAAGTCCAAGATCCAGGTAGGATCAGGTGCTTATCCCTGGTAGACTGGCATGAGATACAGGGCTCCGTTGCTTTAACATGGTGACACAAAGGTTTAACCTTGTGCTGTGAGAAATAAGGCATCCTAGGCAGATTCACCCAAGTTTCCTCAATCATAATGAGTTAGAAGAGAGAAATGAAGGAGTTTAGGTCAATTTAAGTATTTTGGGTCTGGGTAACTTGGTGGATGGTGGTGACTTTGAAAAGGATAGGAAACACACGAAGGAAGAGTTTAGGGGTAAGGAGAAAGTTCTGTTTTTGAGTATGACATGCCAGCCTGTTGGCCACCCACGTGCAGATGTTCAGAAGTTGGTAAGAAACGTGCACAGAAGAGAGAGATGGGCTGGAGGTTAGAATGGGGGCCATCTGTGTTTAGGTAGTAGTGGAAATGAGACTGTTTGGGGAGAAGATCACCAGACATAACTCTGGAGGGAATCCTATACCGAAGAAAGGGAAAGGGGAGTGTGCGAGGTACAGGAGGCCATGAGAGTTAATATTTATCACATGCTAAACCCTACCATGAACTACTGCTCTTAAAATTTGCATAACCATCCTATGGTATGCCAATGATGGACATATTATTGTCATCTTCATTTCATAAGGAACGGAGGCTCATCAATAATCAGTACTTGGTTCAAGGTCTCAGTGAGCAGTAAATGCAAGGTTTGCATCTGTTATTATAGAACTCTCACCACTACAGTGTATTGTCTCTCACAGAGAGCTAGTAGAAAAATCCAGGGAACTAAACAGAGGCATCTGGAGTCAGGAAAACTAAGAAAGGAGAATTTCTAGAATGAGGGGATGGTCAATAATATAAAGTGTCTATCAAGTTTATTTCTAAAATACAATTTAAGATGACCACTGGTTTGACAACTGGGAAGTCCGTGCCGATCAACTGCTAGACTGGGCAGGTCTAGCAGGCCTTCTTGGTTCTAGATAGATCCCTCGGTAGAAACCCAAGAAGAAAGATGGGCTTTGATCTTGTCCTAAAAGTTTCAGGGTAACCTACAAAGGGATTACTGTCCTGGAAATTTACAGGAAGGACATACAAGGTTTTAGCCAGAACAGAACCAGTTTGGGATGCACCACAATTAAAACAAGGCCCCTTATGGTAAATTGTATCATCTACAACCTGAGCTTACAGCGCTGTCTCATCCTACTGGAGGCATCAGCTTGAGTTTTAGTAAGCTTAATGCCAGGGCAAATTTATAGTCTCAGATCACTGGGCTGTTACCTTGAGTATAAACATCTAATATTCACAGGGTGCTTGGCAGGTTTCAAATTGTTTCCAAATACGTTGTCCTCACAGCCATCCACTGAGGTTCTGTCTCCAATTTGTGGGTGAGGAAACTGAGGCTGGGAATGGACAAATGTTTGTTTTGGGCATACCACTTGAAACTATCTGCTGTTGTAGTGTGAAATGTCATAGGCATAATACTGCATTTTTAAGTGCGGGAAGGATTGCAGACCTCATAGCTTCTCTTTCTCAGTTGCTGCTCAACCCATAAGCCTAACAGGAAAGTGGCACAATCATTTCGGAAACTTTCACTGGGTGTTACACATTTTACAGGCAAAAACAATCATGCTCGCCCAGATCTACGCAGGCTCTCCTGTCACGTAGCAATGGAAGAACTGGATTGTCTACACATGTCTGAGGAGGCAGAGGAACTGCACGTGACTGTGTTCTATAGGAACCTTGTAGTTTTTTCCCTCATAACAAAAATATACTTGCGAATTACAGTTCTGTTAAATACAAGGGTACAGTGAAGGAAATGATCTCACCATCTAAAGACAACTACTGTTAAGAAAAGAATCAAGGGGGTAGCTCAGTTGGTTGAATTTCTGCTCGGGTCATGATCTCATAGTTGTGAGATCAAGCCCCGCATCGGAGTGTGGAGCCTGCTAGGGATTATTTCTCTCTGCCTCTTCCCCACTTGTGCCTGTGTGCGCGCTCTCTCTTTCTCAAAATAAGTAAACTTAAAAAAAAAAAAGAATTATATTTGAGACTAAAGTGGAAAAAATAATAATGATCAAATGTCTTGTTTCCAGTTTGGGTTTTTTGGTTTTTGGGTTTGTTTTTTTTTTTTTTTTTTTTTTTTTTTTTTTTTTTTTTTACAACGAACAATGTAACACTGAACATTTTTATTTGTTCACCTGGGGCACCTGGGTGAGAGTTTCTCAGAGAAATATTCCTGGGAGTTTAATGGCATTAGGGTATGCACCGGTTCTGCTCTTCTAAGTAAGGCCCTATTTTCCAAAGCTTATGCTTCCAATTCTTGACAACATTTAGTTTGGTCAGACTTTCACATTTTTATCAGTCCGGTAGGGGTGAAAATGTATTTCCTTATGGGGCACCTGGGTGGCTCCGTTGGTTGAGTGTCCAACTCTTGATTTCGGCTCCAGTCATGATCTCACGGTATATGAGTTCAAGCCTTGCGTTGGGCTCTGGGCTGACAGCTGTGGAGCCTGCTTGGGATTCTGTGTGTCCCTCTCTCTCTGCCCCTCCCCCACGTGCTCACTTTCTGAAAATAAATAAAACATTACAAAATATTTCATTATAATTTGAACTTGTCTTTCCCTAATTTCCAATGGAAGGAGGACTTTGTGTGTGTGTTTTGGCCAGCCCATTTTTGTTTCTAGTAAATGCTGCGATCTCATTCTTGCTCTCCAGCTGGCTTTAAAATTAGACAAAAGAGGCACCTCCCTACAATTTGTGATATACACTCTCGTTTTCCAAGTGTCTTTCCTATCAGTCAGCTGAGCACCTGTCATGAACACTGGTGTTCTAGTTTTCTCTTTTCCGTTAGAATCCTCTAAACATTCAGTCCTAGCAAAGGTACAGAGGATGAAAAAGCAGGATGGACGCATTGGGGGATACAGGGAGATGAGAAGAGAATTCCCCTGGTGGTTTGAGACAGACAGGAAACTGACTAGGATGGATGATAATGACAGCTGCCTCACTTCTAGGGCCCAGGACTTAAGCATGTTAATCATTTGTGAGCATTTCTGATCCTTAGGATAATTCTCTAAGGTGTATATTATCCCTGTTTCGTAGGTAAGGAAAGTGAGGTTCAGAGGCAACAGAACACTTTGGGGTTCCCAGAGGAGAGCAGGTCAGCATGCAATAATTTATGAAGTCCTTTATTTGTTAATTGAGAGCTGAGTACCAATTTGGCAGAAGATTTTGTTGGGCATGATGTTTGCTATTGACCTCTGCCAATCGGTTATGTTGGGCACTGGGAAGGGATTGCCCGCAGTCACGGAGGGAAACTAATATAGTGAGAACTTGCTTGATGGTAGTCAGAGAGGCCTAAGTTCCACTCCCTACTGCCCCCCCACCTGAATGGCTTTGGAGGCCTCACTCACTAAATACTAGAAAGGATAAAGGCAGGTCTCCCTCATGAAAATGCCTCAGCTCTGCCTTGAGAGGTGAGTGACTCCATTTGTGCCTCAGTCTCACCATCTGTAAAATGGGAATAATGGGTGCCTATGTTTGTATATTAGTTTCCTGTAACAAGTAACCATGAACTTGGTGGGTTAAAACAACAAATTTATTCTCTCCCAGTTGGAAGCCAGAAGTCCAAAATCAGTTTCACTTGGCCAAAATCAAAGTGTCTGTAGACCCTCCAGGCCTGCTCCAGAGGTAAGGGAGAGTCCATCATTGTTTCTGGTGGCTGCTGGCATTCCTTGACTGGTGGCTGCATCATCACAATCTCTGCCCTCCTCTGCTGTTTCTGTCAAATGTCCTTGTGCCTCCGTCTTCAAATGATGCATGTGATTGCATTTAGGTCCCATTCTGATAATCCAGGATAATCTCTCCATCCCCAAATCCTTAATCTGCAAATACTTTCCAGATGAGGTGACATTTACAGGGGCCAAGAGTTAGGACCTGATATCTTTGGGGGCCTCTATTCAGCCTATTACATTTAGGGTTGTCATAAAGAGGAAATCCGCTACTGATGGCAGAGGACTGAGCACAGTATCCGCCAGCAGACAGCACTGCCTAACCATCAGTTTGTCTCCTTTTCTAAAAATGTCTCTAAGACCCTGTGTCTTAAAGGGCTGCTGCAAGGCTCAAACCTAGAGTACAAGGGAGACTGTACGTAAGCGCGAAGACTGAAGCCCAAACTGCGGCCGGACGGTTTCTCCAGATCCCACAGCTCAGATTTGCACATTTTTCTCCGTAGGCTGTCAGAGACCCCTCCCGCTCATCCTCTCACCTCCCCCGGGAGAGGATGCTCCACCTCCAGGCCCCGCCCCCGACGTGCCTCCCCCTTGTGCCCCTCCCACTAGTTTGGCGTCCTCCGCCCATAGTGGGTTGGAGGCGTGAGGGCCTTTGCAATCTGCCTATTCTACTGCCTATCAAATCGTAGCACGTTGTCGCCAATGTCTCCTTTCTCAGCCTGCACGTTATTCATACCACGCATATGGACTTAAGGAGTTTAACTGTCGCAATTTACGTGCCTCCAGATGAAAAACGAGGCAGAAGCTGTTGGGAGCCGACTGGCAATATTGAAGGGAGCCCGTACAAGAGGGAGCCGGGTCCTACGTGCCTCGCGCGCTGAGCCCCGGCCGGTTCACCGCGCAGGCGCAGTAGATCCCGACTCGCCATGCCGACTGTCAGCGTGAAGCGGGATTTGCTCTTCCGAGCCCTGGGTCGGACCTACAGTAAGTGCCGGCGCCGTGGCCTGGCTTTGTGCCTCTGCTCCGAGGCTGGGACCCCCCCCCCCTTCAAAAGGGCTTCGTGGGAACGTTCACGCTGTCCGGCAGGTTTTGGCCTCGGGTGGTCCGGGTAGAGACGGGGATGTCTGGCGGTCGAAGCGGCCGGGCTGGGCTGAAATAGCCTCTCCCAGCCTGTCTTGCCAGGGCTGGTGTTGCATCATTCGCACGTGCCAAGCTGGCCATGTCATTCGTTCAGCAGTCTCACATGGAGCATCTGTTGCGTGCTTCGTGTCAGGGGATAGAATAGGAATGAAGCTCTGGGTTGCATCCCGAGTGCAGCTAGTTGAGCGCGACAAGAAGAGCTCTGTAGGAACTCCATTTATGAGGGATTAGGGGGTAGAAGCTTGAACAGGAAGTGGTGGCATTCTATCTTACTTTATTGATGTTTCCTGAGCACCTGTTAGGTGCCAGGCGCTGTTCCTGGCGCTTTGGGAATACAGCGGTGCGCATGACACGTAAGGCCGCCGTTCACGTTTTGATGACGGAGGCAGACAATAATTAACCAGCACACTAATGAACTGATTCTGGATTATGTTAAAGGCTATCGGGGAAACAAAAATACTGTGCTAAGAACAACGTTAGATAGGATAGTAACACCTGAGACCTGAATGACGACGAGGAGTCTTTACCGGGAGAGCTCAGTCTTCATGCTACACTTGGTGTCTTTTTTAGTTCTGAAAACATCCCCATTTAGAAAAGGGAGGAAACAGTGCAAATTATCAGCGGCCATATGGTTGTAGCGGTTGAAATGATAGCTGTCTCTCCCCAACATTATCAGCTTATATAAGGGCTGTGGCAACTGATTTGTGAGAACTATTTTCGGATTTTAAGGTTCAGTATAACAGAGACCTAGTCGGTGTAACAGGTACTGCTGCCTAGAATGTTACCACCAAGATAGCTTTTAAAATGTTTCTAAAGTCGCAATTTTAGATACCACATATTCTTCAAGTATTATTCTTTGTCGGGTTCTGCCGTAAGTCCCTGAAAATAGAGGTAATACTTTTTGACTTCTGAATTCAGCTCTAATTCCCTACACTGTTTTATTTTACAATGTGCTTATTTATATTTCTTAACCCGTTCTTCTAAACCATGTTCTTACTAATGGTATATGCCTGAATTATACACGGTGGTATGGGGCAAATATTTGTTTAAGACATCTGTGATCAGTTACCACCCAAGTATCCATTTCTGAGAAAGTAAAAAATGACCTAGGTTTTTAAAATGGTGAGATTTGTAATCTATTTACCTCTATCTGATTTCATAGATTCTCTAGCGACCCCTCCCATGTTTTTCTTATTGAAAGTGATCAGGCAAGCTTGATTTCAACTCCCCCCCATAAGTATCCATCAGCTAATGACTCAAATTTCAGTCAGAGGGGTGCCCGGGTGGCTCGGTTGAGTGTCCAACTCTTGATTTTGGCTCAGTTTATGATCTCGCAGGCCATGAGTTCGAGCCTTGCATCAGGGCTCCATGCTGACAGCGGAGAGCCTGCTTGGGATTCTCTCTCTACCCCCATCTCCTGTCCCTCCCCTGTGCATGCATGTGCTCTCGCACACTCTCTCTCTCTGAAAATAAGTTAAAAATAAATGAACTTAAAATTTCAGTCATGAAGGTTGATGTTACTGAGGTGTACTTAAGGCAGGTTAGAAATACCAGTTTATATTTCTTGTATTTTTTCTTGAAACTTAATTGGGTTGAGGTCAAAGTTGGAAAAGCATGTTTAGCAAAGCATCTAGTTTGCAAGTTAGAATGGGTCCATCTTGTTTCTTACCCTCTTTTTTTTTATTAGTCTTCCTCACTTTTTATTCTCAGATACTCAGTCTTTTGTATGCACATTCTATTTTTTTTCAGTCCTTCCGAGTTTTGCTTTTTGTCCTAAATTCCATTGTTTCTCCCTGTCACTGCCTTCACCATCTCTTTGCTTACCAAGGAGATTTCTCAAGCTGCTTTTGTTCTGGTCCTTTTCCTTCTCTGGGGCCGTTTTATCTCCTTAGTCTACCTTTTTTAATCACTTTTCTGCTCAGGTGTGTTCCTTTTGCCACAGTTAACATTTTCTTGTTAACTGATTTATTATCACCGTTTGGTTCTGCTCCTGCTCTGCCTTGGTGTGACTGCTGACGGGACTGTCAGAGCCACCTGTATATGTCCTACAAACCTCTAAGGGGTAGTCACTTAGATGTGTCGTTTTGTTAGAATTATGAATCACAATTTTGTTCTTGTTTCGAAGCACGTGAAATACAGCGGATAGGAATAAAACAAATTGTATAATGAGGCATTGAAAGATGCAGTGTTTTAACGGTTCTAAACTAAATGGTTACTGATCAAATTGTTTTCTATTGCTGCATAATAAATTACCCCCCACATTAGCAGCTTAAGATGGTCGTGTGTTTTGTGGTTTCTGAGGGTCCAGGAGTGAGGAGTGGCTCAGTTGGGTGGTTCTGGCTCTGGATGTCTCATTATGTTGTCCTAAGGGTGCCAGGTCTGTAGTCCTTTCTCCAGGCCTAACTGGGGTTGGAGAATCTAATTCCAAGTTCACTCAAGTGGTTGTTGGCAGGCCTCTGTTCTTTGCACATGTTTGGCCAGAGACTTCAGTGCCTCTCGCTAGGACTGCTTGCAATATGGTGGCTTGTTTGTCCCAGAGCGAGAGGTCCCAAGAGAGCAGGTAATTGAGTGTTCAGAGTGATAGAAGCACATGTCAGAAGTGACATGCCATCCCTTCTCATATTCTTTAGGTCACACAGACCATTTCACAGTGTGGAAGGTGACTACACAAGGGTATGAATACCAGGAGGCGGGTAGTTTTGGAGGCTGACTGCCAGTCTGCCCTCTGCCCCCTCCCCCCACAGTGATTCATGTTCCTCCCCCATACAAAACGTACTCACCCCTTCCCAAGGATTCCAGAAGTGTTATCCCATTACAGCAGCATCTCAAAATCCAGAATCTCCTCTAAATCACGGCCTGGTGTGGATGAGGCTCTTCAGGTGTAGTTTCTTTTTTTTTTTTTTCCAACATTTATTTATTTTTGGGACAGAGAGAGACAGAGCATGAACGGGGGAGGGGCAGAGAGAGAGGGAGACACAGAATCGGAAACACGCTGCAGGCTCCGAGCCATCAGCCCAGAGCCTGACGCGGGGCTCGAACTCACGGACCGCGAGATCGTGACCTGGCTGAAGCCAGACGCTTAACCGACTGCGCCACCCAGGCGCCCCATTCAGGTGTAGTTTCTTAAGTACAGCTGCTTGAATATAGTTTCTCTTGGTCTCAGAGACTAAAGAGATGATCTACCCAACCGACAACTAACATCCAGCGGGGAGACAGGCATAGGAGGACTGCTATACACATTCCTCGTCAAAGGGGAACATGGGAGACACATTCTGAAATTGAACTGGCACGTGTTCGACTCTCTTGATGAGGTCTCAAGGCCCAGGATCCTTCTCCATGGCTTTCAGCCCTACCCTCTGGGCTCTTGGCTGCGCTCTCTGTGAGTGATCCTTATTTTTATGGGGGAAAGAAAGCACGTGTCTTACATCCGATTAGTTCTCTCTACTACTTGCCAGTAGCCTTTTGGCGGTTCAGAGACTTCATTTTGTCCTCTCTCTGTCCCTTTCAGCTCAAGCTTGTAATGTTTCTGCCTATATATTTCTTTTAAAAACTTTGTGGGTCTTCAGTGAGTTTTGCTAGTTTCCATTTCATTGGTGAGAAGCCATCGCACTCACAAATTTCTGAAATAAGGTGTTTTGTACCTTGGATTTGTACTGATACAGGGCCCTTGATTAAGCTCAGTTGTGTGACCGACCTTGTGAGGCACACCCTTAATTGATAGTGCCTTTTCTCTGAATGAATAGTACCTTTGATCTTTTTGAGTCTTAAGAGTTTACAGTCATATCCTTGATTTCATCTTTGGACCATGCTTTCCTGGCAATGCTCTGGATTTACTGTTTGCTCAGAAGTCATTTCTTTATTTTAGTACCATTTTACACCTTAGGAGACTGAATTTTTAAAACTGTCAAGTCCTGGCTCCTTTTTAATGGCCTTTACTTTGTCTCTTCTCTCATAAACAGCAAGAAAAAAAACCAAGCGACACCTACAGCACTGGTTGGGAATCTTAGTTACATCACCTAGTTGAGTAGGTACATTTTCTACAGTCTGCATAACCGGGTAATAGCATTGCTAAACTTTTGCCTTTATATAAAAAGGATTCCCCTTTGCCAGTTTCTAGTAACACTGCCTCAAGTTCCTCCATATGCTCACCTGTATCCTATTAAAGACTATGAGGCTTCTTGTTACAGGCACTTGAGGTTTTGATTTACACTTTCCTCAAAGCCTACCTCCTGGTTCCAAAACCATATTCCCACGTTTTCCCCGTTTTGTTTTGGCATCACTCCACTTCCAGGGACTGAAGTCTGTATTCTCTATTGCTGCATAACGAATTACCTCAGTATGCAGTACTGTAAAACAAGTGGTGGTTATTTCCCAGTTGTGTGTGTGTGTGCGTGCGTGTGTGTGTGTGTGTTTAATTTTAGTTAACATGCAGTGCAATAGTGATTCATCACTCAACATACAACACCCAGTGCTCATCACAAGTGTCTTCCTTAGTACCCATCACCGGTCTAGCCCATCTCCCTATTTCACAGTTTTTTGAGAGAGGGATGGAGGAGTGGCTTAGCTGGGGGGTTCTAGCTCTGGGTCTCTGACCAGGTTGCCGGCAAGATGTCAGCTGGGCCTGCAGTCGTCTCCATCCAGGCTTGGCTGCCTGAAGAAGAGTATGCTCCCGGGATCACTCATGTGATTGCTTCAGACCTCAGTCTACACAAGGGCGTGAATACCAGGAGGTAGAGATCACTGGGGACATCTGTTGTTCTTCGCCCCAGTTAACGGTATCCACACGGGAGACCTGGGGATCCTAGACTCTTCCTGCTCTCACCTCCCGCCTCCCATCTGGTCACTGAGCTGTGCAGATCCTGCTTCTTTGACCTTTCCCACATTCTTCCTTCCTCATACCCACCGCCACTCCTTTAGTCAGGCCTTCACTGTGCCTCACTTGTAGTGTTAGGGAAACCTCCCTGCTCCAATCCATCCACCACCTTGCTGCCATCCTTTAAAGTGCAGATCTGATCCTACTTTTGCCCAGCGCAAAATCCTTCCGTGTAACCCCCACCGCCTACAGGCAGGACAGAGCAAGTCCCTTGGCATGTTGTGAGTTCTTTTACTTGTTGCGTCCAGTTTCTTCCTGACCGGAACCTTAGGCTTCCTCCATATTGAACTTTTCCAAATTTGCCATGCTCTTGTCCCACTCCTCACGGTCTCTGCCTAATGAACTCATCCTTTCTGTGAAGCCTTAGCTGACTTTAAGTGGATAAGGACCTTTTTCGTGCCACCTCCATACCTTGCACTTAACTATATTTACGCATCTGATTTCTTTATAGAGGAGTAAGTAGTAGGAATTGTTTTATTTTTGTAGCCTTGGCACCTGGTATAGCCACCTGCCATGTAGTAGGTTCTTGTAAATGTTGAACTGAAGTTCATTGTCAAGATCAGAATCTTCAGACCAGCTTTTCACTACAATATACTGGTAATGACGGTTTGTGTTCAATTTTTGATAACAAGAAAGTCCCTCAAAATGCTGTATGAGGTAGTAGAGTGAAGTAGAATGTAACTAAGGAAGAGAACCGTTAATTGTTGCAGACCTAGTACGTTTTAGGGTGCTGTGGCAGGTCTGTTACCTGCATAATAATGTTGAAAATTTTCCCAGAGTTCCTGCTATAAGTCAGGAAGTGCCAGTTCTTAGAACCAGGAAGTGGAGTCGTCAAACTCTGGCCCGGCTAGCCAGGCCGCAAGGCCTCAGGATTTTAAAGGATAGGACTTACGTGACATTATCCCATTGTGTTGGATCTGTGTTTCGGAGCCCACTTTACATTTGATCCCTACCCAAACTTCCCAGTGCAGGTAACCTAATTCTCTAGTTGATATTAAATGAATCAGCCCTTAAATAGTCATTTGTTTTTAATATTTTTTTTTGTTACTTTTGGTTTTTTTTTTAATTTTTTTTTCAACGTTTATTTATTTTTTGGGGGACAGAGAGAGACAGAGCATGAACAGGGGAGGGGCAGAGAGGGAGACACAGAATCGGAAACAGGCTCCAGGCTCTGAGCCATCAGCCCAGAGCCTGACGCGGGGCTTGAACTCACAGACCGCGAGATCGTGACCTGGCTGAAGTTGGACGCTTAACCGACTGCGCCACCCAGGCGCCCCTCACTTTTGGTTTTAAAATGGTGCTGATGCCTGAGATTTCATGTGCTTGGTGTAAGGCAGTTTTAAAAGAAAATGCAGTTTATATACTACTCCCATTTAAGCTGAACAAATTAAAATTAGCAATCTCCTTTTTTTTCCAGCTGACGAAGAATTTGATGAACTGTGTTTTGAATTTGGTCTGGAACTTGATGAAATTGTATGTATTGAATATTTTTTCAATAGTTTGTGTATAAGCGCATTTTGCAGAGGCCTACTGTATTTTGTTACCTTACGGTTAGACTGACATGGAATATTTGTGGGCTATGGTGATTGCTGTGTTCTTGGTGTTAAGGGGCTAAGCTTCAGTTCTAAGAGAGTCTGTTGCTTTCTTTAAAATCTCAGAGAGGGTTTCCATGTTACGTTGTCACCTAAAGTTATTGGGCTAAGCTGGGGAGACGGATAGACCATCTCGAGTAACCCCAGAATGAGGGTGTGCTCCTTTGCAGTGTGGTGCCTTTTTATAAATTATGGAAAGAGGCCTGGGGAGCGATGGAAACGTTACTTTAGCCAGAGTTTATGTCTCACTGGCCTGTGGTTCCCCCTACTTCTCTTCCTCTGCCCTACCGTACCTTCCTCTCTTCTGTGTAACCAATATTAATTCATTCCTCACTCGTTACTGTATACATTGGCCTTGTAAAATGATCTTCTGTTTTTTGAAGGGCTGCCTGTAAAAATCATTATGAAGCATATCCCTAGTCTTTCAATTATTAAATAATTATTAAATTAGTATAATAAAATATTAATAAAAACATCAAATATTACTATAATATTAAAATATTGAAAATTAGATAACATATTTGCAAAATATATTACTCATGATCATGTAATAGACATTGTATTTATAACTAAAATGATTTAATATTTGTCTTGTAGTTAGTGTTATTTTTTCTTACACCTTTTATCTTCTTGATCTCTGCAGTGTTACAACACTGTGAGGCTAAATCTTTAGGCTGACATAATGTAAATTGATTTGCCTTGTTTTTTCTGCTGCTTTAACTGATGTTACAGGAAACCTTTGTTTTGTTAATGAGCATCTCTTTGCTTGAAGTTGACTGAGATTTTTCTGTTAAATTGCTGTGATAATTACACTTGGCTTATGTTTGAGGCTGTGTGATATCTAAGCATTGGACTGGATATCAGAGAATCTGAGTAATAGGTTAAGCTCCCACATTCACTAGCTGGGTAACCACTGACAATTAAATTACATCGCTTCTCTGGGCCTTCTTCTCATGTGTGAAATAAGGGCTGGACTATACGATTGATGTAGACCCCTTCCAGCTCTGAAATTTCTGTGGTCTTTGATTTCAGTAAGATTTTTATTAGCCCTCACAGACCCAGTCTTCACATACAGTCCTAGCATGATCTGAGATCCTGAAATGAAAGATTTAAGCTGGTGTCTTTTTTGCAAAGGGGGTAGGCCTTTTTTCTGTAATTCAGAGGTCTTCATTTCTCTGCTTCCCACATTTTCTCCCCTTTTTCATAAGGGTCCTTTCTGAAATGCCACATCTCCTATGATGGGGGAGATAAGAACGCAACATGAAAGGAGGCAGAGGGAGGAGGAAGAATTAGAATTTAAACAGAGCTCGATCAAAGGGGGTCAATGAAATTGCTGTTTATTTTTTAAATTGAAGTATAATTATCATGCAGTATCTTATTTCAGGTGTACACCATAGTAATTCTTATCTTTCTTGACAGTGGTTTATCTTTAAGAATATCTGTTACTGGGGCACCTGGGTGGCTCAGTCAGTTAATCGTCTGACTTGATTTCAGCTCAGGTCATGATCTCACGGTTCGTGAGTTCAAGCCCCACATCAGGCTCCATGCTATCTATCCGTGAGGAGCCTGCTTAGGATTCTCTCTCTCTCTCTGTCTCTCTCTTTCTCCATCTCTCTCTCTCTCTGCCCCTCTCCCACTTGCTCTCTCAAAATAAATAAACTTAAAAAAAATTTAAATCTGTTATTATCTGCTGTAATGTGGCATTTGAGATATTCTAAGCTTTTGGCCACTGTATTAAAATTATTTTAGTGGTATTTCTTCTCTCTTCTCTCTCTTGGTTGCCTTATTCTTGCTGCTCCATACCTTTTCTGTCATTAGATTGCTTCCCGTTGTGTCTGTAATCTCTTCTCATTTGTACCACAGCTTCTCATCGCTTCATACTTTTTTGTTTTTGTTTTATTTTTTATTTTTTTGAAAATATTTTTATTTATTTTTGAGACAGAAAGAGACAGAGCGTGAGCAGGGGAGGGGCAGAGAGAGAGGGAGACACAGATTCTGAAGGAGGCTCCAGGCTCTGAGCTGCCAGCATAGAGCCCAACGCGGGGCTTGAACTCAGAAACTGTGAGATCATGACCTGAGCCGAAGGTCGGATGTTCAACCGACTGAGCCACCCAGGTGCCCCTGTTTGTTTGTTTTTTTTTTTTTTAATATTACTCTCATTCACATGGGTGCCTACTGGATTTAGCTTTGAGAGTCATTATAAGCCCTATTTCTTTTACTTGGTGAATCATCTTGACTTTGCCTCTTTGGCACTTTTCGTTGTTGTTGCCCTCCGTACTTGGTGATGGTGTATTTTCTTTTAAATCCAGGGTGGGCAAACTTTTTTTGTAAAGGGCCAGATAGTAGCCTTGTAGGTGGTGTAGTCTCTGTCACAACTCAGCTGTTGCAGTACGTAAGTCACAATAGGTGAGATGTAAACAGATGGTCCTGGTGATGTTCCATTAAAACTTTATTTACAAAAACAGGTGGCAGGCATGATAATGGCCAGTGGGCCATAGTTTGCTGACCCTTGCTTCAGATGAATTAGTGCTGTTCTGAATGACTGAGGATGCTAGATGTCAGAACTCAGCAAAAATTGGAGTATTTTCTGGTGCTGTGATTATAACACTTAATAGTTTTATTTTTGTTGCAAATATAATAAACACATTTTACTGCCGAAAAGAACATGTATAATGTTGTTACTACTTTATAGCACTGATTACTGCTTTTTCAGAAGAGTTAACATTTATTTCACTTTATTTTTTGGGGCTTGTTTTAGACTTCTGAGAAAGAAATCATAAGTAAGGAACAAGGTAATGAAAAGGCGGAGGGAGCCTCTGATGTTGTTCTTTACAAAATTGATGTCCCTGCCAATAGATATGATCTTCTTTGTTTGGAAGGATTGGTTCGAGGACTTCAAGTCTTCAAAGAAAGGTAAGAAAATGTTTAGTAAATACTTTGCTAAGTTAGGTTTCGTTTGCCTGTCATTATCAGCAACCCTGTTTAAGTCTTCAGAAAAAGAGTTGTGGGACAGGTACACAGCATTGGGGCTGCATAGAGAGAGGCTTGGAGAGGAAGATTCATGCAGATTATAGCCATCTGAAAATTTGCATATTGAGTCCTAGCCTTTTATTTTGGGAACATATTTAAAACTGGAGTGGTTAATGATTTTATGGTTTCTTAAAATTTTTAGTGGGTTCATGTGAATTTCCTCAGTAATTCAGTTGAAGTAGACGTTGGGAGGAAAGTAGAGGTGTCAAACCTTGATAGTCAAACCTTGATACGCTGTTTGCTTAAGAACTCTAAGAAGACTCAGGAGGGGAGCTTCCTAACTGGAAAACTGAAAGTCTTGTGATGGCTGTCTGACTGTGGGCAAGTTAATTGGCCTCTCTGATTTTAGTCTCCTAGTTTAGGATGGATATTTTTAAGTCCCCTTCCAACTACTCATGTAATGAATACAGAAAGTAATGAATATGCAAAGTGAAAAAGAGGTGAAACAGTAACAGCTATCAAAAATATTATTTTTGGTTTTGATTACGTATGTATTATTTGGTTAGCTGCAAAAGAATAAGAGCCTCTGGCCGGTGGGCTAGATTCTACAACTGTGAGGTTTCAGATGACTGATGGGTGTGGGTGAAAGGGTGATGATGAGGCATTTGGTTTAGATGGTTAAAATTTGGAGGGTGACTCCATTCATTCTCTGCATGACTGATCCTCTTATTTTAGGATCAGGGATGATCCCTTAGAGTGCATTTTCCAAATCTGCTTGATTAGAATTTTCTACTCTTAGCAGGCACCTCATGTGATACTTACGATCAGACAAAATTAGGAGAGTGACTTGCTGCTCAGAGTGTGGTCTGTGGACCAGCGTACTCTCTCTCACCTGAGAGTTGTCAGAACTGCAGAATCTCAGCCTGTCCTCAAGACCTGTTGAATCACTCTGTGGTTTAACAAATTCCCCGCTTGACTATAAGTGCGTTAAGGTTTGAGAAGTACTGATTAAAACAGTAGTCCCCAATCTCTTATAAGAATTACCTGGACTGTGCCTTCAAAATATACCATTTACCAGGCCTTTCCTTGAATATCCTGATTCAGTACATCCAGATGGAACCAGGCAATCTGTATTTTTTTTAAAGTTTGTTTATTTTGGCAGAGCTATAGTGTGTGCAAGTGAGCACAAGCGGGGAAGGGGCAGAGAGAGAGAGAGAGAGAGAGAGAGAGAGAGAGAGAACGAACTCCAAGCAGGCTCCCTGCTGTCAGTGTGGAGCCTGATATGGGGCTTGAACTCATGAACCATGAGATCATGACCTGAGCTGAAACCCAGAGTTGGATGCTCAACCGACAGAGCCACCTAGGCTCCCCAGGCAATTTTTTTTTTAAACATTTTGTTTTCAATGTTTGTTTATTTTTGAGAGAGAGAATGTGTGGAGGAGGGTCAGAGAGGAAAACAGAGGATCCGAAGTGGGAGAGGTGCTGACAGCAGACAGCCTGATGCGGGGCTCAGACTCACGGACTGTGAGATCACGACCTGAGCCCAGGTCAGACGGTTAACTGACTGAGCCACCCAGGGGCCCCAGCAATCTGTATTTTTAATAAACCCTATTTTTCCTAGAGGTTCAGAATCTCGTGGTTGGAATAAAGATTAAAGGTTATTGAATCTAGTCCTTCAGCTGATGTAAATGCCCCCCTTCCCTCCCCCCCCATGGTTGCTTAGTGTTTTCTAGCCTCTGCTGATCCTGCATTAGTAGGGCTCCCCTATATCTAGGGCATCCTATACCATTTTTGGACCACTTTAAATGTTAGAAAGTTTGCTTTTTGTTTTGATATTCAGCCTAAATTTGATTTTCTTTAACTTCAGCCAGTTTTCCTAGATCTATTCATTTTATATACTTTTACACAGACTACAGCTGATGAAATGGTTTGGTGAAAAATGGGCAAGTTTGTTTTAATTGCCTTTTAGGATAAAGGCTCCAGTGTATAAACGGGTAACACCTAATGGAGAAATCCAGAAATTGATCATCACAGAAGAGGTAATAAAGATAAATTCTTATTTTCCTTCTTAAAAAATTTCCTTGGTGTGTATATTTATAAGGTGGGGAGGAAAATGAAACAAAGCTGACCCTCTGCCAAATATAATTTTCTTTGATCATTTGCTAAAAATGGACGTATATTTAGCCTCTAGCTCTTAAAAACTGTCAGTTTGTTCCCTTTCATTTCTCAGTAACAGCAAAGCATCAGTTTTCCTGAATAATTTTGGAAAATAACACCCATGTGTTTATTTAAAGTACTTTGAGATATAATTGTTTAAGTTGTGATACATTAATAAAATTTACAGAAACTTTGAGGGGACATCACCTTGGTAAAAACATCAACTATGAGAAAACTACTTAAAAACACTAATTTTTTCTCAGTTATTTAGTAAATTTTCAGAAATTTTGCTGACATGTAAATTCCATGAGAATGACGACTTTGTCTCTTGTCACCACTCTATCTTGGATTGAATGAATATATGAATATACATGTTATATGTGTTTGCGAATTTGTGATCGTATCGAGAGTGCAGCTAACTTTGTTTTACAAGACGTTATTACAAAGAAAGGCCCTAGTCTGGACTCTGTCTAACGGCCTGATGCACTGCAGACAGCAAGAATACGCCCTTATGCTGTGGCTGCGGTTCTCCGGAATATCAAGTTCACTAAAGATCGATACGACAGCTTCATTGAACTTCAGGAGAAACTACATCAGAACATTTGCAGGTTTGTCGTTGCATCTCCCGTCCTCCTTACCTTCCTCTGTCCCTTCCCCCCTCTTTTTCCTTTCTACCCTTCTCTCTCTCTCTCTCTCTCCCCCCCTTCCCTCCCTCCTTCCTTTCTTCTTCTGCAGATTTTTTCAAAGCGTTTCTAAATTAATCTGTGAGTAACAAGTTCAAATTTGCTTAGCTAAATTGCAATCAGTTTAAATTTTACCAGACAGCTATTTGTTACTGCTTATAAACAGTGCATAGATGGAGAAACAAGAGCTCTGTTGGGAAAACTATATGGAGAAGAAATATCTAGTCCTAGAGATTTCCTTGGTTTTTATGTTTGTGTTATTGTCGTTTGGTTCAAATTCTTAGTAGTGCATTATACTACTAAATGTTAAATGGTGGTAATTTGAAGTATGACCTGTCATTTTAAAATGGAAAAATTTTGGCTTGATGTCTCTTCTTGAGTATAATTATAAATTTGACAGATGAAACTTGAGACTTCTAAGTAACTGAATTTTCTTACTTATTGGACATTACTATTCATCATTTCCCATAGGCTCCTTTAGCGCAGTGATCTTCAAACCTGTGTAATTCCTGAACTCCTAAAGGTCAAGGAGGGTAACAGTGGGAGTCTTTGAACTAACTTCAGCATTTAAAAAATCCTAATGGAAGTAAATGATGTATTTACGGATAAAATCAAGCTTTAGCTAACATAGCAAGGTTTTTTTGTATTGGTCCTGAAATATATCAGCATATCTCATGCTGATCAAAAGGTATGATTAACAGTTACAGGTGTCTTGAATAAAAATAGAAAAATTTATTAATTGCGGTAATCGCAGTTTGGTAAACTGGAGACTAGAAGAGGCTTTTGTGTAAGTGATGGGAAGGGGTGGAGGGGACCCTGGATGTTTTCTCCTGGGATGAAGTGTTTTAAAAATAAAACATCAGTAGGTCTCTATTTCCAGAAACATCTTTGTTTATGTGATAAAAGAAACTTTTTCAGTTTCTCAATATTCCCAGTTCTGCTGTAAAAATAGTCTGTGTGTTAGCTTGTTAATGTCATTATTAAGCAAAACAGTAAGAATTTAAATATCTCAAATGAACAAAACAAAAGATTTCTGATCAGCATAGGTATAGCTAGTAAGTGGTTGAGCCCGATTATATGTTCTGAACATACTTTATTTGAAGAATCTATTTTTAACTAAATTGGAAGGCATTTCCTCACTTAATTCAGCTTTAACCTCTGTTTATGTGGTATTTCTGGGAATCCTGAGCTTTTTCTACCGGGAGAAATAAACTACATCCTGATACTCTGGTGTGCCAGTGTCCTTACCTGTCAGTAAATCTTAATTAACCTCCTGCATGGGCTTTGGAAACTTTTTTTCAAGAAATACACTCATTTCACTTACATTATCAAATGTATTGGCATAAAGTGGTTCACGATGTTTTCTTAGAGAGAGAGACAGAGAGAGAGAGAGAGAGAGAGAGAGAGTGTGTGTGGAGGAGGGGCAGACGGGGGAGAGAGAACATACCAAGCCGAGGTGGGGCTGATCTCACGAATAAGGAGATCATGACCTGAGGGGAAATCCAGAGTAGCTTAACCCACTGAGCCTCCCAGGTGCCCCTCTTAATGTCTGTAGTGATACCACCTTTTCATTCCTGTCTGTTCCCTTGCTCACTGTGGCTGGAGGATCAATCGTATTGATCTAAAAAACCCAGCTTTTGGTTTTATTGACTTTTCCCCTCTTTGATTAGGTTCTGTGTAGGGCAAACTGCTAATCTGGAGGCAAGACCTTTCTGTCTACCTGATCCCTTCCCACAGGAAACAGGTTTTCGGCCTGCACGGACACTGTTCTTCCGATAGTTCTTTCTCTGTCCTCGAGTAACTTCCTCACGGGTGTGCGCTGATCAGTACTCAGCGGAACCCTTGAGGGGGTTCCTCTGCAGATGTGCAGGATTCTGATAGCCCTGTCCACTTCAGTACTGTTTCCGGTCAACTCCAGCAGTCTTGGTCTCCCCAGACTCCCCGTTACGTCTCTTCAACTCAGGAGTCTGCTGATCTCCAACCCTGTCCCCCTTCCCTGCCTTACAGCGTGGAAGCCCCTCGAGGCAGTAAGCCGGGCAGTCATGGGGCTCCCTTCATTGATTTGCTGTCTGTCAGGGATTGCCTTCACTGCCTCGTGTCCAGGGCCACCCATGAAACAGTTTCCTGTATTTTCCCCTTTTGTGGTTTCAGGCAAGAGTGTAAATCTAGTCTGTTACTCCGTCTTGGCCGGAAGTGTCCAGTGAATTTTTACCTTTTTCATCTCTAGAATCCATTTGGTTTCCTAAACAAACAAAACTTTTTTTTTTTTAATTTTTGAGAGAGAAACAGTGTACACACAGGGGAGGTGCGGAGAGAGAGGGAGACAGAATCCAAAGCAGGCACTAGGCTCCGAGCTAACAGCAGAGCCCTAAGTGGGGCTCTGACTCACTGACCAGGGGATCATGATCCGAGCCGAAGTCAGATGCTCAACCCACTGAGCCACCCAGGTGCCCCCTCTTGGCTTCTTCTTAAGTGTTTCTTTTGTTTGTTTGTTTACTTTTTATTTTTTTGCTGTTATTTCCTTTTCTGCTCCTTATGTGTATATTTTCCCCATAATTCTTGAACATTTTTTATGGTAGGAGCTTTAAAATTTGCATGGTGATTTGACAGTCTGGGTCATCTTAGCATTGGTTTTTACAGACTGGTTTTTTGGTCTAGAGTAGGAGTCCCATTTCCCTGTCTTTTCATTGCACATAGAATGTTATGTTATGGGTAAGGTTCTTGATTTTCTCTGAGGAGTGATTTTGTCTTGCCAGCAAAGACTTTTGAATACTTAGACTCAGATTCAAAACACTTAGCCAGGCGAGACCTCTGCAGTTGGCAACCACTGAATTTCCCACTCTATTCTTTCAGCTCTCCCCTGCTTTTTCAGGGCAAGACTTTACAATTTTTGCCAGTGTGATAGGGAAATCTTGATTTCTAACTTCTTTTTAGGTTGCATATTTTCATATATCTGGGATATATTTTGTGTCTTAAGGGGTGTCCTACTCCAGTTTTACACATTGTCCTGTATTTTATTTTGAATAATTTTTGTAGTTCCTTCTGTGAGTGTATGTGTGTTTATCTCGTTTTTCCAAATGCATAGCTCTTTGATTCATATGGAATTTATTTTTTTGTGATGGGTTTGAAATCGAAATTTAGTGACCTTTTGTGGGGATACTCTTAGGATTAAGGAATCATTACTATCTTAAAAAAACACACACGGGCGCCTGGGTGGCTCAGTCGGTTGGGCGGCCGACTTCGGCTCAGGTCATGATCTCACGGTCCGTGAGTTCGAGCCCCGCGTCAGGCTCTGTGCTGACAGCTCAGAGCCTGGAGCCTGTTTCAGATTCTGTGTCTCCCTCTCTCTGACCCTCCCCCGTTCATGCTCTGTCTCTCTGTCTCAAAAATAAATAAACGTTAAAAAAAAAATTAAAAAAAAAAAACACACACATGGACCTTCTTACACATGGATTTGAGTTAATGTATCTAAACTTATGGAACTGTGTATTACAACCTATGATATTTCTGGAGTTACTATCTTCCGGAAGCACATAACTCAGAGTAAAGTAACACTTCTTTGTGCTTGTTAACAGTTTTATTTCTTAAATTTCTTGTTACCTGTCTTGAAGGATGACCAAGACTTATTTCTTACAACTTTTGAAAACTATTTCACAGGTCATGTAATGTGGACCTTCATAAAATCCTTGATTGCCAATGCATTTTATCTGGTGTGTATATGCACTTATACATAAATACCAAAATATATTTGTATTTCCCTCTAAAACTAATTTTAAGAAGTCTTAAGAATGGCATACATTTTGACCAAGTTTCTTTTTGAATTGTCTTTGAGAAAGCTTAGAGCTAAATCTGTGACACTGTGTGCTAAGACTGTAGGCCTTTAGATTCTAAATTAGTATTAATATTGTTCCTGGCTCTGTTTTATATTCCTGTTTCTATTTCTTTCTCTCCTAATCTTAACTTGCTATAAATTCCTAAAATTTCCTTAAATCCTTTGCACATAAACTGTAGAACAAATGAAATTAATACCTTCTGAACTTCCCTTGCACATTAAATTTTAAATGTAATTCACAGTTCTTTAATTTTTTCCCTTATTGAAGTCATACAGCTTTGTGACAGAAAATTAAGGAAAATATAGAAAAACCAAAAAACACAGCGGTTTGGTAGTTTATTTTAGTAAGACATTTGTTCGCTTGAAGACCCAAAGAGGAGTTAAAGAAAAAGGGGAGTGTTCACTAACGTCCTAGTTAACACAGTACTTGGGAGAGCACTGCAGCAAGGAATCTATTCTGGCTCCTGAAATAATGTGCTTTAAGTAGCTTTAGAATTCCTCATTACTTTGGATGGCTGTGAGAATTTGTTCATTATACTCTTCTAAACTTGCCTTGTAGTAACAGGCTATTTTAGGGAAGTGTCAAACATCGTTTTGTTAAAACGTCTGTTAGCTCCCGAATATCTGCTTTGGACTATTAGAACTTGTTTTGTCTGTCCTCTCCCTCTTTTCTCTCAACATTTAGGAAAAGAGCCTTGGTTGCTATTGGTACCCATGATTTGGACACTTTGTCAGGCCCTTTTACTTACACTGCAAAGCGACCTTCAGATATCAAATTCAAGCCTCTAAATAAGACCAAGGAGTATACAGCCTGTGAATTGATGAACATATACAAGGTATGTTGTTTTTTTTATCCTATGCAATAGCTCTCCATAAATCAAGAAAATTCCTTTAATGTCTGGTCTTGGAATAGGGAGATGTAAGTGACTACTTTTAATTTTTATTTAAAAAAAATATTTTAAATGAGTCCTTTTAAAAAACTGTGTCTTAGGGGCGCCTGGGTGGCGCAGTCGGTTAAGCGTCCGACTTCAGCCAGGTCACGATCTCGCGGTCCGTGAGTTCGAGCCCCG